TGCAACCAGCCAGCCCCTGGCTCCCAACAGCGAGGCTTACGCAGCCAGAACCCCACACTGACCAAGCACTGCTTCTGCCGTGGTGGGGCTGCTTGTGATCCCCATCCCCTCTTTCCACCCGGCAGGCCCCACGCTCGCACTCCGGCTTGCTCCGAGGGGAAGCCCAGCCGTTCGTCCAGCGCCAGGAGAGGATGCGGGATTGATTTCAGAAGCTGGTGGACACACTGAGGACGTCACAGTTACATGTGGGCACATTTTATTCTCTGGATGCACTTGCGCATTGTTTCTGCTCAACAGCCAAAGCTTTATTGATTGAAAACCATTACCCTTCTCCCCCACCCCCAGCACGCTTTATTTTTTTGCTATGTACCCCCTTTCCCACCCCTCAACCAGTCGTCTCCTTCCACTTTGAGTATTATCTCTGCTTGGAGTCTGTTTTCTCAGAAGAAGCCAACTGACAATTCATTCGAAAATTTTTTCTCCCAAGAACCATATAAATTACATGCAAAACATTGTACATAGAGATTAATATCAAAATGCAATACAGATCAGGTGCACTTTAAGCTGGACTCTAGGATATGGCAAACACACCAGGGTACATATTGCTTTGAAACCACCATTTTTTTTAATGTCATGCATACCACATAATATTCAGTCTTTTGTTTTGTATTTTTCTGTTTTTATACAAAAATACCAGTGCTTATTATACTTAGTTACTGGAAAAGAAAAACTCAGATCTGCGTGCCCTCTTCAAAAGAAAGTTTTGTTGTGAGAGCATTGGATAAATATATATACACACACAAATGTTGGTTTAAAACTGTATTTATATATATATTTATTTAAGGGGAGGAAATAAACTAAAGGCAGTTTTAGCCATGGGCTTTGCTGAATGAAAAATTGTGGTTTTTGTTGAGCAGGAGGATACCAGAGGCAGGACAGCCGGACATTAGCCAGTCTGGGTGGCAGGGGACAGCCTCAGCAGAGAGATGCTGGAGAGGAACAGCCCGGTGCCAAGAAACACGCTGGCACTGCTCCACAGCCTCGCTGTTTGGGGCAGGACCGGGAGAGCCGTACCCCCCGTCACTGTGCCCCGCCAGGGAGAGCTGGGTCTGCAGGAGGGTGGTTTTACGGGCTGCACGCTCCATGTGTTGATGAACGTGGAGGAGCTGGACCCAGCGGCCAGGATCGACGGCAGGCAGGTACGCGTGTCCTTTCCCAAGAAGTACAAAAGCCTGCAGGGACTTTTCTTTGAGGTGCTTGGTCCCTGCAGTCATGGAGGGCAACAGGAGCTGGCGATGGCATCTTGGGATGCCCTCCCTGGATCTGGGATGGGGCTTTGCCATTCACCCCAACGTCATGTCACCCCGAGAAGCGTTTCTAAAGGGGCTGAGCACTACAGGACATATACTCCTCAGCTGGGGAAAGCCAAAGGCTGCCCATGCTAAAATATGGTTTAGTTTTTTTCCTTCTTGAGATTGTTTCAAAATTTTTCCTCAAAGCTTATTGCACAAAACCTTTGAAAATTAAGTATAACCCCTGTGCAAATCAAAGGAAACCTTATCACATAATGCAAATGCCTAAAAATGCCTGTTCAGCAATGCACACAGGACGTGGTGTAATGTCTTTGGTACCAATCCGCCAATTTATTTAACAGAAAACCACCACCACCACCACCAGAGACCGTACTGTTATTAAGAACTGGATGCAAAAATCATGTTCAGAGTGTTTTAATAACAAAGCATTCCAAGGCAAGTTAACACGTATCACAGGGTATGACTTCGGTTCCTGTCTGGCATGGCACTCTCCCCCGTGCGCACTCGTGGCAGTTCAAACAAAGCAAAAAAAATTATATATATCTCCCCCTCTTTCAAGGCATGTTGCAGAGAGTCCCCAGAAGTTCGTGCTGCTGACCATGCCTTTCAGCATAGAGCACCAATCTCCCCCAACTCTTTTGTAATGTCCTCAATAACTTAACCCAATAGTCATCTGCTGCCAGTATATCACTGAAACTAAATAGAAAAAAAACTATTTTACAGAAAAGATGTATGCACAATAAACATTTATACTTCAAGCAACCAGCCATACCAACATAATTTATATAAAAAAACATTTGTGTCATCCAACTAACATCTAGTATAAAGATGGCTGCTCAGAGAAAAGGAAGCTGACTGGCATCCGATTGCCAATACACTGAATTAATTACCTGTCACTTGAACTGCCGTCACACAGTCACGCGCCTTTGCAGACGCGGGACTCAAGATTTATATTTTTTTTTTCTTTAAACAAAATACATATGGCTGACGTAAAAATATCAGTTTCTGATCTAAAGAAAACTATATTTTTTGCATAACATTATATATAATTATTTCTCCCCCTCCTAATATGGAAACTAGGACAACAAAAATGTATCAACTAAAGAACAACCAGACCCTTGTGGCAACCTGCCAGTCACAGATTTCTGGGAGTGACTTTGAGAGCCTCCAAAGTTGGCTTTTTGTTGGTTTTCATTGGTTTAAGTCTTTTTTTTTGTTTATTTGTTTTTAAACAGGTCTGAGGTATTAAAAAAAAATCAGAAGAAAAAGAAAAATCATTGTGTTACCCCCCCAAAGTATTTAATAAATATTTATGTAAGCTTGTAAGAACACCATATTTTCATCCCTTTTTTTTTTTTTTTGCAAGTATTTAAAATAGAAAAAGTGATCTTCTAAGCAATGTCACCTTTAGTACAGAACCAAACCCCACAACCACCCCGTTTGTCTTTCCTGTCACCACTTGTGTATAACCCCAACCCCCACCCCCCGGTCCTGCCCCCAGTATTTTTCAGCTCATGCGAGGAAGGAACGGGGAAGGCAGCGATGGGCTTGTCTGCGTGGGCAAGGGGCTGGACACTGAATTTGCAATTGAGATGGGCAGTGGTGGCAATTTCTTCTTGCTGTTGGCAGTGTACGGAGCCCAGCCTTCACCCCTTTGCCAGCACCGAGGCAGGAGACCCGGGAGAAGGAGCCCTCCTCAGCTACCTGGGGCAGGAACGGGGCGACCTCATCCTTCCCTCCTCCCACCCCAAGGAAGGGACGAGTCGGTGCTGGGCTGGAAACAAAACAAAGACACTTGGTTTGCGTTGTCGTTTAAGGAACACTTATTTCTTGGCAAAGTACTGGGCCCTCGCGTGGCAGGCGGTGCTGCAGGCAGTGCTTGGAGAAGGCACGGGAGATTCTGCTGTGCGTTCTTAAAGGAAAGAAAAGAAGAAACCAGCCAGCCCACCCTCTCGCTAAAACCTCTCTGCTTCCAGGGATGGAGGCTGGCCAAAGACAGTGTACAGCCTGTTACAACCAGGTTCTCTCTGCTTCCAACCAAGCCAGACAGGATGAAGGAGGGAAGGCAGCAGAGCTTCCTCCAGCCCTGCCCGCCTGGGGCCAGTAACCAGAGGTGCACCCAAGAGCCCATGGGGAAGAAACGAAGCCCAAGCAAACCAAACTGCTGCCTCCTGCTCAGTCCCACGGCTTCACAAGAGGGTCAGTTCAGAGCCAACTTGCCCAGGACACCCTGAGGCCTCTGCTCCAAAAAACCAGGACTCTCACCAAACGGTTACAAGAGGCCGAGGCAAGGCAGGATGCAGCGTGAAGAAACGACCTTCAAAAAAGCAGCAAGTGAGGCAAAGCCTCCATGCAGCACCTTCTCTGGAAGCCCAGCAGCCAACAACCCAACCTGCCACCTCTGCGAGGAATTGCCTCCACTGGCAAATCAGCTACAGAAGTGCCTTGGAAATCAAGCGTTGTCCCGTTGGCCACGGAGCCTCCCCCCTTCCACCGGCTAAAAAGACAACCTGACTCATCCCTTCCATGATCTAGGAATTGCCCTGCTGTACTGTCAACAACCCGATGCCTGTTCTCCCTTCAGCCTGCCAACGCTTTGGCAGTGATGCGCAGCGCTGGTGGGCACGGCTGGAGCATCCTCTGGGCTTCCTCAGCAGTTAAGCGGAGTTTGTTATTTAACCCAACAGTACAGACAAGCCAGAAGAGGCATAAGTCCCCTGCTCTTGATGGTGGGAGCTGTTAAACCTTTGCAAGGCTCTCACCAAAAGTTTCACAGCTGTTCAAGAGCAGAAGAGGTGCATCTCTTGAGACTCCCCACGAAGGAGACCCCGTTTCTCACAACCATGGGGTTTTTCTTCACTACCCTTCCACTGCCAGTTCACCTCCACCTTGCTTTGTAGAAAAAGCAGAAACTTTTACATCCAGCAAGGTTACAGCCACGTCACCTTCGTTCCTCGTCTACCAATTAGTGCTTTGGAAACAGAGAGAGAAAAGTGTGTGCACACACAGAGGAGGAGCTGTAAAGGCTAGGTACCATTTTTCAAGGTGGAAGACTGGTGTACATCCCTGTATCTATCAACCTGTGAGTAAACACCTTCCCCCTGGCTGGGTTTTTTTTGTTTATTTTTAAATTTTTGCACTAGAGTGCTAACTCCCCCACTTCCCACTGTGAAGTTACTGGGGGCGAATCCCACAAGCAAAGAACAAACCCCAACATTAGAAGAAAACCCTAAAAACCACAAGTGGAAAAAAAATAAAGTCACAAGTGCACCCCAGCCCTCAGGCTGAGAGCGTGCATGTAAGACTACAACAATTTGAACTTTCCTTGAACATGCATTTTTCAAAGTGAAAACCCCCAACAAATGCATGGAGCCCAACTCTCGGAGAGGAAATAACCTGGCTGCTTCACTTGGGCGAGTACCACTGAAAATCAGGGAAGGAGATGCACAATTTTGGCTTAGCCTCTCTCCCAACACCGAGCATTATGGTACTCTGGTTCCCACTGCTAAATAATGGTAAAAAACCCAAAACAAAACAAAACAAACCCCCAAACAAAACACCAAAATGATATACGTATGAGCAGTTTGACACGAAGTGACCGCAGTGTGTGATCAGTTACTGGTGCCAATATCACACAGGGCGAGAGGCGAAGATGGAGCAGGAGGAGGGGGGTTCAAAGTTCTAAGGTCAAACTGATGTCTCCAAGCTGTCTAAGGGGCTTCTGGGCTCCAGGACGGTGACCTTGGCTTGATCGCTGTCCACTGCGTTGTTATTTCTGTTGAGGGATGTAGATCCACCCAGGCTACCCCCACCTCGCTTTTTGAGTCCATCAGTCTCAGGGTCATCTTCAGCGCCGTCAAGGAATGGTATTCGAGACTCGTCTTCCTCCAGGATGAACTCTGGGTGAGTCATGAAGTTATGGATGGAGCTTCTGGATTCCGGTTTCTCGAGGCCTTCGTACAAGGAGCTACGGAACGCATTCACCACTTTGATCTGCCGGGAGGCGAGGAGCGTGGGGGATAAACAAAAGAGGGGTTAGTAGTGACTACGAGAGGCCAGAGCTCCCAGGAGAAAGTGAAAATAAAGACACGATAAAACAAAAAGCACAACAACAACAGTCACCACCACTGAACAGACAGCTAAGTCAAAATGAGAGATCTATGGTGAACTAGGAGGGCCAACATGGATCAGACTCAGGCACTAGGTGTGTGATGGGGAATCGACCGACTATGGGGCGACTTCAGAAGCTGCAAGAAAAGACACAAAAAAAACCTCAAAAAACCAGATCACTTCGAATGAATGGAAGCCAAAATGCATTAGTTGTCATTATGTGTGCGCACGCGCATCTGTGTGTATAAACAAGGACAAAAAAGTGGAACTACAACTCAAAAAAGAGGTGGGTTAGACAGACAGTGGGTTCGCTTCAAGGCAAAAAACCTCTACTGTGGGAGCGATGTGTGTGTGTGCTCTGTTTCATTTTTTTAGACCTATAGAAAGGAATGGGCTTTAAAAAGGTGTCACGAACTTTTCAAGCCCATGTGAAGCAGTAGGTCCAAGGGGATGCCATGGCCAGTCAAACCAGACCCAGCTGAACATGCAAGAAGAAAGCCAGATCTGTGGGACTTTCCCCACACAGCTGCCACCTGGATCCCGGGCTGGAGCTCTGGATCCTGCCCTGCATGGACATGCTGAAGAAGACCCAGTGGTTTCCAAAGGCAGCTAATTCTTTTGGATGCTCTGCATGAAAAACAATCCCAAACTTTGCACTGCCAAAAGCCAGGCTCAACACATTTCAAGCAGGAGATCCAGAGCCTGCCTGCGACAACTGGGGTACGGCCCTGCTACCTCCATTGCGCTGGAAGGGAGAGGTCTGGAAAGAAGCCCAGATGGTGGCTAGCAGTGGATTCACTGCTTCCTCCAGTTCCTCTGGAAATCCAGCCTTGCACCCTTCCAGCTCTCGCCCTGCTTTGCAGCCGAGCCGCAGTTGTTCGGTCAGATGGGTGACAAGCGTCAGATCCAGAGACCGAAGGGGCAAAGGCATCGCCGTGGGGCTGCAGCAGACCCCTCCGTCCCAGCGCTGCCATCACACTCGCCCTGGCACCCACAGGGCAGCAACGTGTGGACGCCGGCACATGTGGGACAACCAACGTGTGCACCGCGGGTGCGGCAAGCACTCCAGCTCTCGTGCGTGACTCAGGGCTATAATCACTCGAAAGATGTCAAAAGGCGTAAACTGATGGAGAGCGATGCAACATGTGGGCTTTTGAAGCAGAGCCAGCAAACCCAGCAGCTGAGAGTCTCCCAAGCCTTAGAGGTCCTGGGGAAATCACACATATGGCTTTGCCTTTTACTGCAAAGCCGAGAGCTACCCACCACACCGTGCCCTCCAAAGCATCCCTCAGGTTGCTCCGCTGTGTCTCACGCTGATGTTCTCCCCTCTCGCTCTTTCAGGCCAGAGCCAGCACGGTGCCTCTCCCCAGAGGTCCCCCTCCATCCTGCCGCAGCAGGTCACACCAGCACCCTCCCAGTCACCCGGGAACTGGGCTGTCTCCTCCCTTTATAGAGGGGGAAACTACTGACAAAAATTGTCAGCAGGGATCAAGCATCTTGCACAAGCTCTCTGTGTTCTATGGAAGCAACAGAAGACTTTGCTCTGTTAAGCAGAGTTCATCTGGGACCAGGAGATCTGCTCAACTCCTCCTCGCCAAAGGAACTGCTCCCAGACCACCGTAAGACTTTGTTCAGTGACACTGGGTGCAGCGGGGAAGTCAGTATCACCTCCCTGCAGCAGTGCTAGTCCTGCTCCGTCTCCTGCCCCATGGAAGCAGCACCACTGCTCACGAGCCACCTCCACCTACTCCCAACACCTGAGGTACCCAGTCCCCTGCCTGCTCTCACAGTGTCACTGTGAACTGAAGCTGGGGCACAAGAGGAAGAAGAGTCACAGATCCCACAAAAGGGGTGCTCCTCCCAGCACCCCTCTGCTACACCCTGGAAAGCCTCCCTGACCCTCAGCCGCCAGCCGAGGGAGAGCGTGCAGAGCTGCTGGAGGGAGAGCGATTCAGATACCCCCTTGCAAGCTGATGAGGCGAATAAAGACACGTGTGTGTTCTGCCGCTTCTCTGCGAACGGGCTGCAGATCTGGTGGGTGAGAAGAGCCGACCCTCCTCTTCCCAGTGAGATGAGCTGGGTTAAACTGTCCTCCTCGGTCTGGTACCCAAGCAGGCGAGGAGGGAAGTCACCAACCAGCACAGCCAGCGAGAGCCTCCTAGGGATCTTTGGTCTCAGCACAAACAGCACGCACAAAACCAGAGAAGTTATTCAAAGAAGAGTCTCGTGCCTGAAAGCCTGGAGATTTTATCTGCAAGATGTTCCAGGGCTCCCCTCTCACAAGGGATGCCCTTCTGAGCCCGCTTTCCATCCGGCTCAGGAAGATGGTGCTGCACCTCACGGGCAGCACCGTGGCATTCCCCCTGGCACAGGCTGAGCGCGTCCCGGCTAGAAGCAAACACAGACCAGTGCGCACACGCGACCGGGATGACAGACACTCATGAGGAGATGAGCGTGGGCCAGGTACCCCCCCATGATGCTGGAGCACCAGCTGGCCTGTGAAAATGGGAAGTTTATGTAGCTGGAAACAGAAATTCAGAGCTGGGTTTGCTGCACTAACGACCACAGTGAGATCCTGAATAAATTTCATTATTTAGTGTGCACGCACAGGACAAGGGAGACCACAAAGCAGGCCACCTCTACCAAGACCGATGATCTGTCACTTCATCAACACAAGGCAACTGCAAGCTCTCACAAAAGCACTGACCCCTAAAATGCAGTGTGTAAAACCAACTAATCCAAGTATAGCAAACCTCAACAGGCTAACGAGAGCCTAGGTGACTGCCAAAGCGACTAGGTCGTCGGTCTAGTACAAGCTCAGAGGAAGGAGCAGCTTCACAGAAGCCCTCCCTGCCCCACTACCTCAAGCACTGGGGAGTCCAGACCCTATCTACCATATCGCTGTCTTCAGCTCCACCAATAACCTCTGCTGCAGCTTTCCTCAGATTTTCTTACTTTAACCATCTTTGTCAGCAACTGCTGTGAAATTAATTCAGCTGTTGCCTTGTCAAAGGAACTTAACAGCAAGGAAATGTGTTGTGAATGAGCCAGGCGCTGCACACAAAGATGAAACCCTCCCAAGCCAAGCTGAAAGCCCACCTCTCCCTGCCCACGGCCAGGCTTACATCTCCTCTCCAAACAAAACTTTCGCAACCTGCAAGCTCGGAATCTTCTCATTTCACACCACTACTGCAGCACCTCAGTGTGCTGGGCAAAACCCACTGCTCCTGCAGAGGTGGAAATCACATCATCTGCATGACGCCAGCATCAGCTCCACCACTACCCCTGGTGTGCTGTGCCCAGCTCCCTCAAACCAGGGCAGAGCCCCCAGAAGAGACCAGCTCAGCTTTGCAAGCCATCTCCTGAGGGTCAGTCCCGAGACCTCCCTCTCCTCCTTCGCCCCGATGGGGCACAGCAGGCAGGGCTGCTGAGGTCCAGCCCTGCAGAACTCACCCCACCGAGTGAAATGGAAGACAGAAGGGCCACCATTAATCTGTATGGAGGGAAGTGGAGCTTTGAGAGAGAGGGAAGGGAAGCGACAGAGAGAAACAGAGAAAAGCCTAGGCAGAAAACAGAGGGAAGACTTAGTGACCTGGGTTAGCTTCTGGTAAAGTTGTTTGCTGCCTGGAAGGGCACAAGCTATCCAAGTTATCTATTCCTTTGCTGCAAATCAGGGAGAATATTAATCCACAGACTGCAAAAAAACTTGCATTTTGGTCTTGCCCACCCAAGCCCACTACCCTGAGATCCCTCTAAGCAGGTTTTCTTCCAGTTAGAAAGTCTTGGTGGTGCACAGATGCAGTCAGGAACAGAAGGCAGCTGCGCTGCTTCAGAAACATTGGGGTTAAACAAAATAAAATTCAAGCATCAGTGCCGGCTAAATAGAGAGAAAACAAAATTATCAGAAATTCTCTCTTCTCTCCCACAGTGCATAAACAGTAGAAACTGAAAGCTATTCAAAAAGTCACCAAGGGTATTTCTTTAATAAGAAGAGAACATGGAAAATGACTGTGCAATAAAAAAGCCAATTATCTGGGAAAGATACACTACCTACTCATAGCCTGGCACAGCCCTGCAGACAGAAATCACACTCACGTGCTCGCAAGCCCGTATACGCAGCTCACAATGAACACGGAGAGGGCTTTTCTTTGGTCTGGAAACAGACAGCTAGATCCAGAACCCAGCTTTGCCACTGATGTTCAGAAAAAGCCATGTTTTCCGTCTCCGTCTGTGTGCAGAGAATCGCGTGCCTCTGCATACGCTGAGAACCAGCGTGTGTAGCACAAGCTGGGCACCGAAGAGCCACTGCACCAGGGCGGCAACGCTCCGGCTCTGTCGTGGGACCAGCGGAGCCCCGTGCCAGCCCCGCAGAGCTCCAGGGCAGCAAAGGGCTCGCTTATGTGCGTGGGCTTCGCTCGGCTCTGTCTCGCACAGCGTGCAAGTTCACAGGCGGGACAGGGGAAGGCTGCTTGCTTACAAGCCAGCTCTGAAACAGTGGCCTGAGCTGCAGGTGAGCAGCTCCCAGCAGCTCCGATGCGTCACGCCAGCTGAGCCACGGCAACCGGCTGCTCCCGGCACAGTCCAGGCTCCCAACCAAGGCAGGAGCGAACACCCCTTCTCACACGTGTGCAAGAGGCAGAGAGCATACAGGCAGCCCATTACTGCGGCTCGGCCGATCCCAGGAGCACACTAACTGCTGTGGGAAGGTCCGAGCGACCACTCTGCCTCCAAACAGATTGACAGCTTCGATAAAGCAACGCCTCTGCCCATCCCTGCCCTCCTGGGGCATCCTGGGGCTGGGCAGAGCCCTGTCAGAAAGGAACGGCAGCTTTTGGGCGCAGCGTGCCCTTTTCACAGCAATGCTTTTAGTTGCTGGTGAACGCACACGGTTCTTTTAACAAGAACCGCCAATTTTTGCACCCCTCAGGAGGGTGGGCTCATACGTCAGTCCTGCAAAGGAGGAGAAGAGGTAAAAATGGAGGAAGCAACAAGGAATGGAGGGGAAGGACCAGAAAGTACCATCAACTTGTTCAAGATGCAACAGCATAAAAACTAATTTATTTTTTTTTTAAAATACCCTCCTGCCCCATCCTTCCTTTTGGAAATCAGTGTGCGAGTCAGGGTTTAGAGGGAGAGAGAACAGGCTGGGTTAGGTTGGTGCAGGTGCTCTCTGTGGTTATTAGAAGTCATGCATTGTAATAGACTATCACTCACTGCCCGCAGGAGGAGATGCAGCAGCAGCAGCAACAGCAGAAGTGGTGGGAGTGGAATTGACGGAGGAAAGAGCTACATGGGTTGGGCTAGAAACATTTTTTACATCGTGGTGCTGGCTCACGATGGAAGGCTGTCTCCTGAGGGCTCCCTGCAAAGAGGAGGCGCCGGTCTGGAATGTGTAAACTACGTCCATCTGCAAAGAACCAGAGAGTGAGATAGCGTCGCCCCGGCCAGAGACAGGGAGAAGGGTCAGGGACGGAGGGGAGCAGGGAGGTTGGGCAGACACACACGGACAGGAAGGAAGAAGGAGGACGGAGAGGTGGGGAGGAGGGAGGAGAGAGACCCCCACCCCACGCTCCCGCAAACCCACACCGGCTTCGGCTGGTGTTTCTGGGAGCAGAGGAGAGGTTGGCTCCCAGCCTCTGCCCTGCTCTGGCAGGCGCAAGAGGGACGGGGTTTATCCCACCACCAAGAAAGAGACTGCGGTGGGAGGGAGTGATAGAGGAAACACCTTGGGTTATCCCGACAGTCTGCAGGAGGAGCAGAGACAGAGAGAGGGTGGGCAGAAGTGCGAGCTGGCAGCCAGCGGTCCAGAAAACTGCACTGGGAAATGGCTTCTGGTCCCTCAGCCCCACGGGGTGTACAGCTGGGGGGGCTGCATGCTGGGATACACCACGTACCCCCGGCTCCCACGGCAGCCGGCCATGCTGGGGATGCTTCAGCCTCTCGCCTGGGCTCACAGCTCTGCACAGGGCTCAGCAGCAGAGCTGGCAGGGATGCACCAAAGAAGGCACCCAGTTCCCCGACACTGTGCAGCTGGACTGTCCCCAAGCCCCGTGCCAGCCAGACCGCAGGCACAGCCCTGCGTCACGCCGGCTTGCCCGCCCTGGCTGCAGGCTCCTGGGGAAGGGGCACCTCCTCCAGACCCGCGTGCGGCTCTAGTTCACACTGGAGGTATTTTACACGCTGCGGTTTGATCTCCCTCCACTGCGGGACCTTCTTTTCCCCAGCGCACCAGGCTCCGGGTGGACCTGCTGGCTGCTCTGCTCAACGTGCAGGGCACCACGGCCAGGGAAGGAGTCACCGGAGAGGCTCCAGGACGTCCCAATGTCCAGGAGCTTTTTTCACGCTGCAAGAGCTTGTTTCAGCCCAGGTCCACCACAGCTGCAGAGTGGTATCTCAGAGGCTTGCCTGGCCACCGGTACCACAGCCGGTCATACCTACCAGGCCTCCAACACACCTGGACCGCTTCCGAAACAGCCCAGTGCTCCCAGCACGTCTTTCATGTGAAGGAGCCAGACGGAGCTGGCAGCTCAGCCCCCCGCAGCACCAGCAACCAGCGCTGCCCTGGGCCCCCAGAAGACCCCTCACCACTCACAACTGGCAGGGATCAAGGCCGAACCTCACCTTGAAACCCTCAAGCCAACATCGCACAGAGGAGAAGCAAAGTTAACACAGCACAACACAGCTGCTGTGCTGCCTCCAGTCCCTGTGTCTGGGCCATTTTGATTATCTCCATTTGTCGGAGGGCCAGAGGAGGTGGAATGAAGGACAACAAAGCAGCCCTGAGTGCCAGGGGCTGCTGGGGATCTACAGCTTTCCTCCATGGGGCAGCTCTGCCCCAGCCTCGAGGGAAGATGAGCAGCAGTGACCTCGCTGCAGGGACCTCTCCCTGCCCAGCCCAGCAAGCAGTCTGGGAGGAAAACAACATCCTTTCAGGAAAAACTGAGTCAGGGAGAAACAGCTGAAGTAAAAACCGCATTACCAGATAGATTCTCCTCCCTTTCTGTGCTGTGGGGCCAAGAGCTCCAGGCAAGGAGCCTGGAGAGCTGGCAGGGAGGGGTGGCAAGAGCCCTCGGCCAAAGGGCCATCGGGAAGGACAGAGAACAGCAGAGGAGTGAGACTGGAGAGGGTCTTGCACAGGCAGATCCCTCCTGGGCACATTCCCCACTGGGAGCAGTGTCCTAGCAGCAACCAAGAGCATCTTCAGTGCTGACCTGCTGCACAACTCGGTACCAGCCCGGGCAGCTCCGTGGCCCCCCTGCAGCCTCTGAGCCCCCTCCCCTGCTGTGTGAGGTGCCCATCAGCAGCACACCCAGCCTCCTGCAGACCAGCCTGGCCTCAGGCTGCAGGACACCGCGCGCTGCATCAGAACAGACCGATGCCTTCCCCCACCCCAAGCTGTCCCAAAAGCCAGGCTGTCCTGGTTCCCCAGCCAGGGCAGACCCAGAAAGGCACAGGTGGTGGGAGAAGTCTGGCCTGGGAGGCAATGGCGTCCTCTGAGCAGTGGCCATCGCCTCTTTCCAGACAGAGACCCTGGAGAGAAAGAAAAAGAAAGAAAGAGAGAGAGAGAAGGAAAGCCCCACAGTACCCGCTGCCCCACAGTACCTGCGTCTGTATCCTGTTGAGACCCCTGAACCACAGGATCTGCCCGCGCCGCAGCTCCATTTCAGCATGGTCGATCTCATCCACATCTTCAGGCAGCTCCTCCTCTGGGATCTCCTCCTTGGTGATGCCGTGCCCAGCTTCCTTCAGGAACTTCAGGTGGCTGGTTGGGACAGTGCAGATCAGCTGGGGAGAGGCAGGGGGAGAGCGGGTCCTTAGCCTGCCGGGCATGGGAGCCCGC